ATAAGCCAACTCTTTAGGTAGGACCAGAGTCAGGCCAAAGTCTGAACCTCAATCAAGGTTTTTCTTTTTAAAAAAAACAAACAAAACTGAAAAATAGTTTATTCCTCACTGAAGGACACCCAGCTCATGCGACGAGACGCTACATAATACAGGAATGAGATGAAGTTCTTGCAGCATTTTATTTTAAAAAGAATTTAAATATTTTTCTCATCACAAATGAAATGAAGGTTTTTACAAATCATCCAACATCCCAGTCCAATTATTACTGGTCCATATATTGTAACTTCATGGTAGTCATAAGTAGATGAAAACGCACTGATATTCTTGGTTATTGAGTTTTTACAAATAGAACAAATGGTCTACACGTTTTCAATAATCACGGTTCAGTATAGTTTGTAGAGACCATCACAGGTGGTCCAGATTCATGAACAATTGTGAAAAAGCTCTTTAGTTTGCTGCCAATGGGAAGCACTACAGATGCTAGTTTTAGTATCACCAGGGACCAATAGTCAGTCGCTGTACTGTCACAGTGCTTAGAAATCAATCATTTTCTGTCAAATGCTCTGTCAATATCAACTAATTTTTATTTAAAAAACTGTTTAATAGCTATACAGTAAATACCAACATAGATGTCAATAAATACCAAGAAGAAAAAAAAGAGAGTACCACATGTAATACATGTAGGTATACGGCTGTATTTATGGGTCAGCCTATGAATTGTTTTTAGTGGAATTGCCGATTTAAATTGTACTTTTAAAAACCAAAATAAAAAGGGTAATTATTTATAACTTAATTTAGGCTTAAGAAACACTACTACAGAAATACATTTTAATATTTATTGTTATTAATCACAAACATTTGTCCATATAATAATATAATATTTCAAAACTTTGATACTGTTTGACAAATTCTTTTAATAAATCATTTACTTCGTCGTTTCGTTACTTTGTTTTTTTTTTTGTTTTTGTTTTTTGCATCAGGCTTTTTGTGTTAAGTGCCAAACTCCAAAACCACTTCCTGTCTTATTTCCTAGAAACAGGAAACGTGGAGGCACATCTTTAAGTCTGAGGCTCATAATAAACACATCGCTTTTCACTTGTTGTAGAAAAATTTTTATTTTTATTTTTTTATATCTTGAGATCTGACACGACCTGCAACTTTAATCTCTTACAGCTTCCAAGCATCCTTGTGATTTCCAATAAAAGAATAATGTAACGTCAGCACTCTTCATCATGGCGTCATAAAATGTAACGTTCTGGCAGAAAGGAGGCAACACTCTACATTTATTCACTCTCTTATTTCCCGTCAACATGGACACATAAAGACCAAATGCTAGTTAAGTTAATTATTTATCTCTGGCTTTTAGGTTTGTTCAGCTGAAGTGCTGTTTGGATCAAGTTCAAGATCTCCAGTCTGAGGCCAGCTTTAATTGACGCTCATAAACAGAGCGAGCAACCGCAGGGTTCTTCTGTAGCATTACACCCAGCTTGTTATTTTTATTCATTTAATTTATTATTTTAATGGCAGAAAATACAAATACATAATTTCGTTATGTAAAGTTGTAGAATGTACTTTCTATTGCCAGAAGTATAGTATATTTTATATTATGCTTTTACCAGAGCTTATGGGAAAAAAAATAAATAAATAAAAAATCAACAAGTCATTTATGCAGGGCAGAGAGCCTCCATTTAGCTTGTGTTTCTCCTAATGCAGGCCAAACCATTATCACAACAAGCTGGCTGGCTGTGATGTAGGCTTTTTGCATTTTTCATGTCCACGACGGTTTAAAGACGACAGTGAGGCAGGGGTGTAATTTGCACTTATTTGGATTCATGGCGGAAGGCGCTCTTAAGGCTTAGCAACCACATTTGTTGCCACTCTTACTACAAAAGCAGGCAAAAAATAGTAACAAAACTTTAAAAAAAGCCCTGGATGTATTACTTTTGCTGTTATGGAGTAATAATAATAAAAAAACGAAGCTGGAATCTGGAAACATGTTTTATCTGCTACCTTAGCAGAGCCCAGTCCTCCTGTTCTGTTTACGTCAGTAGGTTCTGCCATACATTTAACTAAAACTACTCAGAATGTCTCATGAGCTGAATCATCAAAAAGAGTTATATCAAATCAAAAGCGTAAACTTCCAAGGTTTAGCTTAACATTTCTATAAATGAAAACGTCTTGTAGGTTTGTAGGAGTCGGCGACACGGTGAGCTAGATGAGCCTGTATCTGGCTCCTATGTAGCCTAATGCATGAATTTTGTGTAAACTACACCCAAACACTTCCTATATATCTACATTCAAACTTTCAGAATGAGTTTAATCAAGGTCATAAAACACACATGAGAAAGATAGAGATTGCTAATGAGTCTTTAATTATCCCGGATAAATCAGGTGAAAATAAGATCATTAAATGTCACAGAGATTCGCTGAAGAATCAAAGGAAATCGGTCAGTTTTCAACTTGACCAGCCCTGACAGGAGACTGGCCGGTCACAAACTCTGAAAACAAGTTATTTCCCCCCCTCCACCCCGAATGGACAATAAGCAATACAAGGTTGAGGAAACCACAACACTTTGTGGAGTGGAAGATGTTAAAGGACGAAAAAAACCAAAACAAAACAGTGTTTGGCCACAGGAACCAGAAAAGACAAAAAATATTTTAAATGAATTTTCTACAGAGGCATGCTGGTAGTTTACTTAGGCTGAAACTACAGAGAACTAGTCCTCAGGTGCTTCTGGTCATTTTACTCCTTTCACATTTTGTACTTATTTAATTGATTATTTTATAAATAATAAATTTCATAAACTCTGTTGACTTTTCTGAGATTGAAAAAGAGCCATCTTGCAAGGGACACCATTTCATACCTGGAAAAAAAAAAGAACTGGTCCAGAGTTGATTTTAGTAGATTCTAAGAGGATTTAGTTCCTCTTTTTTAATATTTTAAATTAGTACAAGATTTTTGTAACTGTCTGTCACACGCTGCAACATCGCCTCTGTTTTTAATACTTATAAATAATTAACAGTAAAACCAACAAAGCTTATAAGAAATATTCTGAACACTGTAAGCCACGGCCCTTTACATTTTTTTTCAAATTATTTTTTTTAGGTAAAAAAAATTGAGATCAGAAATGGGCCACAGACCAGATTGGTCACCAATATCCCTGATTATTGTGTGTGTAGAAAATGCTAACAATAACAAACCTTTGGATAGTTCCAAGGAAACATGATACTCAGAGGACAGATCACCGATCCACCATAATGTCAACACACAGACGGATCTTTTCTCTGCTTGATCACTCCGTCATCTGACCAATATTCTTTACATGCAGATATTTCATTTGCATGAGGAAAGTTGACCTCAGCGACATCAGAGGCAGCACGCACACCGAAACCCATCAAAACCCATAAACCTTTATCTGACCCCTGATAAAGCTTCATTCAGTCAAACTATTTATTCCCCACGTTCACCTCAGATCACAGCATGGATATATATATATATATATATATGTATGTATAGCTAGAGATAGAGATAGAGAGAGAGAGAGAGAGAGAGAGAGAGAGAGAGAGCGAGCAATATTTCCATGCTTTGCCCTAAAACCAATAAAACACAGTGCTGGCTGCATTTCAAAGGCTTCTGCTCTACAATCTGGAGCAGACCTTGCTGTAATCCTGTGTCAAACCCCTCTGGCTCAAACACTGGCTGAAGCTCATCCAAAGCTACCAGAGGCGGTGTGGAGTCCAGAGGAGCAGAAGTAGAGGTGTTGGATTCCTCTGCTGACAAACAGTGGGTGTCGGTGATTTGGAGTAATCCCACCGACAACAACAAAGCCCTCCCCCCCGCCCCCCCGCCACCGTCATAACAACACAGATAAATACCCCGATGGGGTGCACAGTGGATGTATGCAACTAGAGGCAGAGTGAATTATAATCCAACACATAAGTGTGCGCGCGTTGATACAAAGGCTGTAATCTGGGTCCCGCTCTATCCTGCTTACGCCTGGCCGAGCCCACACTGCCCCATCTGTCCCTCCTCCCTCATCTTCTCCATCTCTCCCCTAGCTTTTCTTCCCTCCTTTCTCCTCCTTTGCTTTTCCCTCTCCTCCTCCTCCTCCGCATCCAGGCAACAACACAAACAGTCCTCTTTCTCCCGTTAGGACCACCTCCTCCTCCTCGTCGTCGTCTCCTCTGGTGCTTTCTCTCTCCACATTTCCAATCTCTGTACTTACATGTCACCTCCATGGCTCTGAGCGGCGTGCGATACTCTCCACAGTGACTGATGAATCCCCCGAGCCGCCGGTGGAGAACGACTTTTCGGCTCGCGGCAGGGAGGCAGGGACGGGTGGAAAGATGGAGGGAGCAGATGGTTCCTCAGAAGAGCAGTCTGGCTGATTGTGGACAGTTAGCTAGAGCATTAGCCACAATAAGAGAAAACTCATCTGTCAATGCCGTCTCCTTTTTTCTTTTTGTACCTCTTCTTTCCTATTTTGGCTCTCGCTCCTGCAGTTGCCTCTCTATCTGAGCATTTTCTGTTCAATTAAACCCACCCCTCATACATTAAGCTTCCCTCCCCATCATCTAGCCACTATAATAATACCCTCTACCTTTTCTATTTGCCTTCCTTTCTCCCTCTGTGGCTCTAAGAGCATCAGCCAAGCTGCTCTGCTTCACTTATGTTGATCTCTGAGCTTATGCACTGATTGGACCCACGCCATAATCAGAGACACCAATGGTGATGCAGCAAGTGGATCACATGATAAATATAGGTGTTTGTGTGTGCGCAAGAGTGTGTGTGTGTGTGTGTTTAGTCGTGGAGGGAGAGAGGGATGCGAAGGGAGGAAGAGGAGAAGGGGGAGGGGGTATGCGAGCGGGCTGCAAGCCGCTACATCACCGAGGGATTTTTTTTAAATATTTTTTTTCCAAGGTCTCAAGAAGAGAGAGATGAAGGCTCCCTCTTCCCCTCCTGTGGGGAGAAGAAGGAGGAGGAGGAGGAGGAGGAGGACGAGTGGGGCTGTGAGCGCGGACGCTCGGATGAAGGGACGACAGGCAGCCTCACGAGTCGCCGATAGGCGCGCTCACGCCGAAACAAAAGCGCGTACGCACGCAGAGCGAGTGGCTCCATTTTAGCTAAAACAGAGGCAGGGCAGTGCGCCGCCGCCGACATAATTGGACGGGGTTGCTATGGAAACAGGGGAAACGGCTGCTGATGGACAAAGCAATGCCCTGGGAGCGTCACACTTGCCTCCATTAAACACGCCACAAACACAAACACACACCTGCCTCGTCTTTTACCGAGCACCACATTAAGGCGAAAGAAAAATCAGCAGGCCAGTGTTTTTTTTTTTTTGTTTTTTTTTTTGTGTTTTAGACTGTTCCCTAAATTAGCATATTGTAATGGGTGCAGAGTGACGCTAAATCAATCGGCCACAGAGACCGAGGCAGTGAAATGGCAATCAGCGCTGAAGAAACGGACACACACTCACAGTGCACGGCGACGTGCACATTAGGACTCTGATAAAAACTCAAGTGCTTTAGTATTCCACACATCAGTGCCGTCAGCGGCAAATGTTGAAGCTGCAGGGAAGCCATACAGATTAGAAAATGGATGCCCGCTGAATTATCCTTGATCCCCCCTTATTATGCGCCCACATTAGGATGCATACGCTCCGTAAAGAGTATATTCCCTCTGATAATGTGCTGACATGACATTTTAAATTGCAGAATGCATTCAAATGTGCACTCCAGTTTCAGGCTGACGGTTGTCACGAGCTACAAATTCAGTCCTCGTAGCGAGAAAATCACAGTTCTTCTGCTGACTGCAACTTTCTACATAGCTGGGGGGAGAACATCAGAGATATTACAATTAAACAAGTTAGACATAAGTAAAATTAATGATCATTGCTGGGCAAAATCCTCCACCAAGAAGCACATTCGCTTCCTTCACCAAGGAGTAATTAATCTGAATTTCACAGTCAGTATAATCTGAGGCTGAACAATTGTGACGCTTAGCATTAAGCTCTGCATGCATCGTTTAGCTAATGCCCTCACACCAAAATGTCCTCACGTCAAAAAGGTACTTCTAATATCCAAACTTTTAAGGTATTGACAGCAGCAGGTACAAAAAAAAAAAAAAAGGGTGCACAGGTATGTGAAGTCACACCAATCAGATGGAAAAAGATTTTTTTTTCTACACAGGCAGGAAATCCATAAATGTGAGCTAAGACCTGGTAGTTAATACAAACTTGGAGCTGCCTACTCTCTCCTTGTGTATCAATAGCTCAATAAACTGTAACACAAAGAAACACAAGGAATAAATGCCAGGAGTAAAGCCATAAACAGTTTTTTTTTTTTTTTTTTTTCCTATTGTGAATTCGTAAAACAAATAATGCAGCCATGCCGGCGAGGCGGCTAACAGCTAAAAGCTTCATGTGGGTACAGAGAGTGTTTCGTAGCATCCGTCTGGTGCATGGATGCTGCTGCATCTAACCGTTTTATTGAAAATCTTTGATTCCTGCTTTCCGCTCAACATCAATTTGTCATTTGAGTGCAGATTTATTTGATTTGCTTTTAGCTCTGGATCCTCTGTCCTGACCACTTCCAGATAACCAGTGAAGACCCCTAATCAAAACCGTTAACTTTCCCTCCGAGTGCATATTTTTTTAAAATACAAGTGTTCTTAAAAACAAACAAACAAACAAAAACAAAAACTGTTTTAATCACTCTTAAAAGACGATGGCCAAACTTTAGAAAGACGAGCCATATTTTTAATAGCAATCCTTTTAATAAGATCAATAAACATATCTAAAGAAAGACGTCAGGACTCCTTAAATCCATAATAAAGATGCTGCAGCTTGAGACTTGTATGCCTTTGTCAACGTTCACTTTCCCACTACACTACAATAAGAACCACAAACTCTTGGAAGTGCATTTTTCCAGATTTTGGAGTCTGACTCTGCAATAATAGCTCCACCTTGAAGCAGAGCAATTTTCTGCAGGGTGACATTTTGAGAGCAGCTCTAAGCAGCGGCTCACTTCAATCACAGCTAGTAGGTCTGAACCAGAAATTACACAGTGGACCTTGTTCTTAAATAAACTGGTATCCTGTGGAGTCTGGCAGCTGTGGAAACACCTGGGATGATGTGATAAAAAAAAACGTTTCTAAACACAACTTTATGTCCTTTATAGTTGGATATTTGTCTACAATAAATAACAATGTAGGTGGAAGTGTTAAGGCAACATTCATAGTTTCAGGATGCAAGTCTACCCAGCAGCACAGTGCATTACAAAAAATGTTTGTTTTTGTTTTTTTCCTCAATCATGTTTCTGTAATTTTTCTCAATGATTTTTTTTGTGCTTTTAATTTTTTTTTAAATTTCGCCCTGGTCTGTTTCTTTTCGTTTTTGTCTCCGTCTGGTCCTCTCATCCCCAACCAGTCGAGGCAGATAGACACAGCTTCTGACTTCATTTCATTCTGTTCAAGGACAGCACTCCACTGTTAGCTCAGGATGAGTAAAAAACAAAAGAAAAACCATTAAAATGAAGATTTATTACAATCTTTTTTTTTTCATCTAGATGATATTTTGCTATTCAAGCTCCTCATAACCACAATCACGCTCATCGAGGTTAACAGAATTAATCGATCCAAACCTTCTTGTGACATGCAGCGAAGGAACTTTTCACGAGATTTAACACGCAGCATAAATCAATCTGAAACAAAACGAACCGACTGTGGTTTGAAGCTCGTCCAAGACAAACCCAATCCGTCTGACAGATCAGGAAAAATGCAGAGAGCATCTGCCGCTTCCTACAACCGACGCCCAACTGACTACCCGACGTACAATATCGGTCATGAACACCTCATTACTATCGCCATCTGGCCGTGTGCATAGACACGGTTCCCGTGTGAACTGACTCAACATTAGCCAGTTTACAGGAAGTTTATCTTAATCCAAACTCCTCTGAGCTTCGAGTAAAGACAAAAGGATTTAGGAGATCAAAGGGAAATTTACAAATAAAACTGTAACTTCTATATGAGGAAAAGTATAAAAAAAATTTTAAAAACGTGGACATTTTTTGTGCATTTGTTACACCTACCATAAAAAAAAAGAAATATGTTGATCTTTGTAATTAAGCATCAAAGATTGTGACTGTACTGAATTTGACCACATGCAGCCAATAAAGCAGCACTGTGCCATTATTCAGCAAGACATGAATTAATTAAAAAGTAAAGCTCTATTAATAATTATCACAACACCTAAAGGAAAAACGTTCCAGTAAATATATCAGCAAATCAAGAATCAATGCAATGATTTCTAAATGCGTCCGACTTGTTTGCAACTAGAAGTCTTGATGTGAAATAAAAAATCCCAGTGTCAAGTGTAATTCAAACTTTCAGTCCAATATAAATGCATTACATACCAATAATACACAAAAAAGTAGGACAACATATGAAAGTCATTGTGTTTGAAATTAATGGGGATTTAAATCAATTCAATTGTAAGCCTACTGAGAAATTCTGGAAATATAAATACACGAACAAAAAAAACAAAACAAACAAAAAAAAAAAGAATTTTACAAATTACATGTATCCAAACAAAGCACTTTCTATGGTGGAGACAAAAAAAAAGAGACGTCCACATATGTGTCTCCTCTGACTGTCCAGTATATAATGTATAAGTAGAGCACATGGCTCTAAACACCTCTCAGCATGAAACACAAGCCTGAACCCGGCAGCGGAGCCACACGGCCTACCTTGTTGAAGTCTTCGCTTGTGGCTCGCATCTCCTTCCAGGTCTTGTTGAGCAGCTGGATGCAGATGCAGAAGAACTCCTCAAAGGAGCGATCGTGGGTGAAGAACATGGGGTGGAAGTCATGACAGTTTTCACTGGCTGTGGAAATGAATTAAAGAGGTAACTGGTAAGTATTTGCAAAGGGTACAAATGATTCATATTAGCACAGCAATATTACAGTTTTGTTTTTGTTTTTGTTTGAATCTTCACATTTCATTTCAATCATTTTTACCTGTCTGAATGTCTTAGAAGCTTCGAGTTTGAAATTTATAACAAGTTATGTTCACATAGAGGGCTTACATTACTGATGTGTTTAAAACCCATGGTTTGAACAACCACAAAACGTTTTGGTCTCATTATTTTAGACAATATTCTGGTAATTAGATAAAAACCAGAGGAGAATGACCTCCTTTATTAAGGAATCAAATTCGCAGCAGGAATTTTAAATTATACGGCAAATAAATCATGTTGTGATTATACATGTTTGTGAACTGGGGTATTTAACTCCAATTTATTCAAACACCAAAATTGACCATTCAATTCAGCCTGATGCATGAACAGTTGGGTTCAAGTATTTTGATGATCCACATTTACATTCAAACTCTCTAATAGTGTGAAATATCGCATGCTGTTTATGAATTATATATATATATATTTTTCCCACTGTAACTATAGAAGGAGGCAAATTTGTTCCAAAAAAAAAAAAAAAGCCAAGAACCTCCACAGAGAATCCACTTAATTGAGATGAGAGCATAACCGAAATCGAACCTACTCATCAAATTCAAAATGTCCCCTCGAGGCAAATTCAGTCCAAAAAAAAAAAAAAAACTAGTTCCAGCTAAATTAAGTCGAGATACATTTCTTATCCCCAGACCCAAAACCTGTTTATTTTCTCCATTAGCAGAGCAGCGAACCACTTTAATACCTGGATTTGTGTGGGAGTGGATTTGACATGAGTGTAAGATGGGGGGGGGATAAAAAAAAATAGAGACTGGGCTCTTGAGTACCCAAACTGTATTAACCCAAAAGGTAAAATAACAAGCCTTGACATTCATTCGAACTGCATTCGCCGCGCTCTCGCCTCGCAGCGATGAGTGGCGGCTCGGAGCCAAAAGGTTGGTTCATTTAAAGAGTTTCAGAGTGGAGCAGCAGGGGCGCCGGCCACCACGAGGAGCCATGAAATTGGATGGAAAGGGTCGGGCTGCGATTGAAACTTCACAGTGTAATGAGTGATGCCGTCAGCCCACAGGCACAGAGACCTGGGCCTTGATTTTCAACTGATGGATGGGCGATTAAAGTGGAGGACATGGTGGCGATTGGGGCGGGATGTGCCACCAAAGCCGGCAGACGATCAGAAAACTAATGGAGTGGAGCCAAAAGAGATGCCGACAACCTGCTTAGCCAACAGAGTTTCGCTCATGGCTTAAAAAAAAAAAAAAAAAAAAAAAAAAAAAAAAAAAAAAAAAAAAAAAAAGATAAAAACAATAAAGAAATCGAAAAAAGGAAACGGGATCAGTGAAAAAAAAATCTCTCTCTAATAAATGATCTTGTTTTGGCAGACTGACAAAACCGATTAGGCGTGTTGGACTCAGAGCTTACAAGGCTGTTTACCGATAGAGCCGGCGCAGCCCCTGAGGTAGCAAGGTGAAGGGGAATGACATGTCAAGGCTCATTTGAAAGATACAGACAGCAAGTCGTCTGAAGCGACTCTGCAGAAATTTCTCCCTCGCAGACAGTTTCAACGCTTCCTGCAAGGCTAAGCAAGAGTCCAGGCAGCAGGGCGGAGGCAAGAAACAGGGCGACACAGTGGCCTTCAAAGAAAACTACGTTGTTATGTGCGGTATTTCATGAGAGTTGTTATCGGGACACACGCGTTAATCAGCCGAACGTCATCCGTTTTGAATGTAGGGATTATTTTTGGTCAAATTCCAAATATTTCATTTAGCCCTCTGGAAAAGACGCATGTCTTACTGGAAAGTTGTTTTTGCAGCGCAGAAGATAAAGAGAAGGAATTATTTGACAAGTTAACGTTTTTGTTAACTTGCCATCTATATATATATATATATATATATATATATATATATAAAACACACAATGTTCAAAGCATCTAAAACCAAAGCCAGGGTAGGATGATCGTAGCAGGACGGCGTCGGGATAAATATCACCACAGGGACCCTAAACTCTCCCCGTATCCAGATAACGGCTCAGCGGGGCAGGTGTGAACTGTGACTTGTTTAAAGTCATAATTTATTAATCTTTTGGGTAACGCATACGGGTCTGCAGCGCACAGTCTGGCTGATTGCTTAATGAACCCTAATGAGTTTGCTTTGTCCTCTATCGTTTCATCCATCTGCACGGCCAGATGTTTACGCGCTCATGCAGTGGGTAACAGGACACGACGACGGCCGGTTCAGGTTGGTCTCAACCATATGCTCGTTTGGGTCAGCAGAACTTAAAAGTGTCACGACTAAAATAATCACGCTTAGCTGAAAAGCTACTCGCCTTTTGTGCAGTGAGGGCAAGAGATGAAATGGGATTGGGTTTATGAGACTGAGAGAAATAATTAGTTTTTGCAACAGATGGTGCAGATTTACCCTAATCTCAACAATATTAGGTCAGTCTGGGATTTTGTCACTAAAAGTGAGACTACAGAGGAGCAAAATCCACAGGACAGAGCTGAAAATAAACAAACAAATCAGCCAAATGATTGACTTCAACAACAGAACTAGGGGAAATAAGTGGTTTCTGGGTAGTTGGACTACTTCAATAATTTAATTTCGGCAATTTGCTCTTGTGTTGAGGTTTCTCTTAAGAAAACTGTCTGGCAGCAATAAATATAAAATGTAAAAAAGTGATGTAATAGAGAGCAGAGTGGGGTCACACATAATGCAGTGTGCTTGATGATGGAGGCTGGGTGACAAAACAGCCAACTAAGTATGAAACATCTCCGCCGCTGGTTCTTGGTTATTTGCAGCAGCGTTTCCACGAGCAGGAAAGCAACACAAGGCTGTGCGTTTGTTTTCGACGCCGCAGTGACGTGGAGCACATTGTTTTCAAGCTCACAGCAAAGGGTTTCTTGCAGTGCTGTGGGAAGAAAATTGTTTTAAGAAAAACACTTATCCATGTTCAAGCACAGCTGTTGCCGATTTTCATTTGTTTTATGGGGGAAAAAAAAAATCACATCACATTCCAGTTATAAAAATAGAGCAACTTCTATTTCTATTTTCCAACAAATGTTCTGTTCTCTTTGCTTGGGACAAAAGATGAAAAAAATTAAGAAAGAAAATGCTTTGCTGCCTTGAAAATGTGGGCTGAAGTAAAGCTGAGATTTACAGCTTTGTTTCGACAAAAACGTGTGATTCTTATGAAGAAACTATAAACAGTCTACAATGGATCTAAACTAAAGATGTACTTTATATTTTGATTTTTTTTATATAGCCAGAATCTGCCAAATGTGGTTTCGACTGAATTTTATTTCTAACTACTACTACTACAAAAAACAAAACAAAACCAGTCCTGCTAATCGAGAAAAAAAACAGGAGACAAACAGAAAATGAAGAAATCTTGAGGTCGTCAAAGCATCTTGCCCATAACCTTTATTTGGTTTTTATCTGACAAAACAAGTACTAATGCTGTCAGCTGATGACTATTTCTGTCTTTTATTAGTATTTGAAATGCCCACCAGTGGTCAGAAATAAACAAGGGAAAACTGACCGGTTCTGATCTCTGGTTTACTGATTGGTGCATCTCCAGCGCCTATGGGAGTCCTTCCTGGTCCTCCGCCCCTCCTTTACCATCTGTTTGGATATTAAGGCCAGTGCTGACTTACATGCCTCTAAAACAAAAACGGCCAGCTAGTGTCTTGTGTGTGAATGCGGCAGTCGCAAAAGTCCCCTTATGGTCCAGCTTCGGAGCTTTCCGTGACATCAACCGATTACTCAACCGGTGGCCACACAGCGAGGTCCAGGACAAAACCGAAAAGTGACTAAGCACTTGAGCAGCTGCGTGACTGTGCATCAAACGGGAACATAAAGAGGCACATGTGGGCTGATTGCCACTCTGACATCTGTCAAGACCCGCTGTGTGTTTGCGACCATGTGGGTGTGCGCGCAAAGTGGGCGAATCAGCCCTCGGAGTCACCTTGCAGTCCCGCCAAAACGACGAAGAGACGGCAGAAAGCACCGCCGTTCCACTAATTACTATCCCAGCGTGCCTTCATGTCCAACCGTTAACAAGAGCGGCGTATCTCCGAGCGTCAGCGGAGCAGAACCAGCGACGCGTTTTCACTCCGGTCGAGTCTGCAGGTACGGATGGCAGGGCGGCAGGTACGCGGAGAGGCTTGCATGACTTAGCAAGTCGGCTGAGTGCTCATCAAGATGCAGCAAGAAACAGAGTAGCATCGCCACGCAGGCATAAAATATTAATACACAGCGTTATAATGGCTGAGGCTTCTGAGGCTCTTTCTGCTCTTTAATCTGTTTTTGGAGCATTCTGCATATCCCGTCGAATAAATCCGCAAGAGAAGCATTAAACACCAAAATAACTAATACATCCGTTCATCCAGAGTGTAAACTGAACTTGGAATGAGAATTCGACTTATTAATAAAGCACACAACCTCGGAAGATGGATGCGCAACTTAAAAATGCAAGACCTCTGAGCTTTTAAGCATAAGCTCTGTGAAGTGTGAAAGGCTAATGATAAAGATTTTATGAGACACATACCTACCCAGAGAGGCAGACGTGTTGTACTTGCCCTTTTGATCTGGGCTTATTCTCAGTGAAGCTAATAAAACAAGGCAGAAAGGAGTCAGTGGACAGTTTTGACTTTAGAGTGAGAGATCAAAAAGAGACAGTACAAGAAGAGTCCCAATAACTACAATATGTAGAGCAAAGGTCATTCTCGGCAAGAACGGTGAAGAAAAAGATGAGGTACAAGGATTTATTTACACCTTAAAGCCAGAAAGACTGAAAATTTTGCTTCCAAAAAAAAAAAATGCTGTAAAGTTTATACACTTGTACTTTCTTTTGCCTTGCATTGATATGGTGGGACCACATATTCTCTCCGGTGAACAAGTCAGGGCTGTTTGCTGACCATTAAA